GTACTGCAGTGTCATGGGGCTCTAATCTACAGAAGACAGTTTCTTTGTCAACTACAGAGGCTGAGTATGTTGCAGTGTCAGAGGCTGCTAAGGAGATGATATGGCTGCAGAGTTTCTTAGCAGAATTGGGTAAGGAGGTTCAGAAAGGCACTATCTACAGTGATAGCCAGAGCGCCATATTCCTAGCTAGAAATCCAGCATTTCAATCCAGGACCAAGCACATTCAGATCAGGTATCACTTTATTCGATCATTGTTAGATGACAGACAGTTACTACTTGAGAAAATTTGTGGAAGCAAGAATCCTGCTGATATGTTAACCAAGGGCGTCACACTTGAGAAACTGAAGTTGTGTTCAAATTCAGTTGGTCTTCTAGCTTGAAGACAGGGGTTTTGAGTTGCAGAGGTGGAGGATATCACGTTTGAGGAAAAGTGCAGTGCAGCCAATGGGTGATACAGTCAGTGTCCCAGTCTCCAAGTGAGAGAATTGTTGAGAAAGTGGAGCCTTGTCCACTGCGGCTTAAGCAAGTTATTAAATCAAAAATTAAGTTTAATAACTTTCCTTAATCTCTGTTGCACGCATAATATCCCGCTTCTTTCCTTCTCCGTTAAACCGTGTGACGGCGTGAAAATCTCCGCAAATATTCTCTCGCGCTCCTCCACGCGATCCTGCGTCGCGATGCCTGCCTTATGGGTCAAACGGGAAGCTCTTTTAAAAAGCTTCGATTGGCAGGAGGAAGACGTACCTGCTCTCCTTCTTTCGACGGAAGTGTGAAGAGGGAAAAAGAAATAAAAAGCTAATTACTTTTTTCTTTTCTTAAGGCAGAAAAGCTAATTACTTTTTCTTCCTTCATCAGGTGGCAGGAAAACAAAAAGTTTGTTTTTCTTTTTTTTCTTTCACGTGAGCTGGGAAGAGAGAGGGGAAAGAGGAGGAGAGGGAGAGGAATTTAGAGAGAGATAGCTCTTTCATGTAAACGTTAAATAGACGACGGTGTAATTCCTTAAAGCTAATAAAATCTTTTGCAGCTCCGTGGACGTAGGCAAATTTGTCGAACCACGTAAATCTGTTGTCGTCTTTTCTGGTGTAATTTTCTCGATCCTTTTTTCGTTTTATTGTCGTCGTTTATTTTTTTTTCTTAACAAGAATAGATGGAGTAATGTTTGTAAATACCAAAATGGATATCAAGTATGTTTCGTATAAGAACCGTCGTCACACGACGATGAATTCTCCCTGGTAGAGCTAAATCGGTACCGACCTTGGTTCCATGCTCGAAAAACTTACAAGGAGGTATGAATGGTTTTCTTGGACTACATGAGATTGAACACAGTCCCGTATCATTCGAGTGAACACCCCACACATACGACAATGAAAAGTGATACCAACAACCCTTTAATTACTCCCCTGTGACAAAACCAATAGCCATAATGAGTTGTTGACTTTATAGGCAATGCCACTTTTGTTACGGTGTTAGCATCCATCATAAAGTTATAAGAGAGCAAACTTTTCATAAATGGCCACCTTAATGAGACATTGTAATAGGAAGCTTTTACGGAAAAATTTTTAGATGACTATCATTGCCAACCAAATTGATAATAAATATTCCCATCTCTTAGATGTCTTTTTACTAAAAGAGGTTGCTCACTAAATTCAACAAGATTGACAACATCCATTGGACAACACCTTATTGGAACTATCTAAAAATCTAAATTATTCTAAAATATGTTCATATTATAAAGTGGTCATAAACCATTGATTGTTGTAACCGTAAGTTAGTGTTAGAAAACCAACTAAAAGAGCACTGCCAAAAAACTTTCTTAGCGAGACCAGCAATCCCTCCTTCCGAAACTAACAATATTAGCTAAATGACAAAATGATAGGGTCAACCACCAATGCCACCTATTAAAAATGTAATTTGAGTTGGACATGCTTCATTAAATATCTTGATGTGATTATTAGCTCTATAGGCAATTAGGCCAATCTCAATCATGGATTGAAATAGCTATAGGCAATTAACCACATATTTTGCTGAATCATAGGCTATGTCAGGGTGACATGCAATCAAATAACAATTTGAATTCAACATAATGTATACAAAAAGTGGTCAAAACTATAACTCACTTTTATGGTTTAGAAAATAAATGAATTAAAACCATGATACATTACACTTTTGAAATACATTCACACGCTTCCTCGTGAGTTCCTTGGTCTCCCCATACACTTTCAAACTTTTTTGTACCATGTACATGTGACTCTTTCCAACATACTTCGACAATCTAATATAGCAATGGTTGTTGGGGACAACAGTATAGAGAGTGGTGCATAATTGAAAATATACATCACGAGGCAAGAAGAATATACTACCTCAAGAGATGGAAGATATAATTTGATCATATGTTTAATATAAGTCGAATGAATAAATATATTTTCTTTGGAATACTTTATAAGGATGGGGATAATGTCTTCTGAAGTCCATTAAGAGATGGGGTTCCAAGTGCTGATATTTTGATGAACATGCACATCAAAGATGTCATTATGTCCCAAAGGACTAGTTGGGAATGCACTAACTCTGTCATGATTATGCCAAATAAGCCCAGGAACTAACAAGTAGTGGGTTTTTCTGATGCCCATGTGAGAAGCTCTACTAAGAATAAAGTAACTCCATAAGCCAGAATATGTCATGTTTGGGCAATAAAAGATGAGTTAGTTAACTAAGGTCGAGCTACAAAAGACTTGTTGTTTGTCATAATACAATATGTGGTGATCTATTTGATTGATTCAGCTAAAATGGGTTCCATCTAAGCCCCTGTGAGGAAATTAGAGGCAACAATCATGAGTTTTAACAAACAAAGCCACACTCAATCCATGAAGAGCCAGAGACAAAATAGAGAGTTCAACTGAACAAATTACATCCATACCCAACTCCCCAAAGACCAAGTTGCCATCGTATAATATGATAAATTCAAAAGGGGTACAAGAAAAAAAATCTTCTGTAAATAATGATTTCGTAGGATCTTCATTCAAGAACTTGAGCAAATTGATCAAGGCAAATTACATCCCAACCAGATATCCGTTAAAATCGACACAAATACAATAAACAATATCGACTCGCATTGAAAAGATTTAAATGCAACAATAAGCTTATGCATTCAAATTCAAATCAAAGAATCAAATATCAAATCAAACACTAATATAATATATATATATATATATATATGAAACGGGATCTCCTTATGGAATTCTTATGATAAATATTTCATCATCATTCATTTTTAATTTTGATAGAGATTTATGAATAAAAATCTCAGTTTGAAAATAAATGATGAAGAGACATTCTGCAAGTGGATTTCTGAAAGGAAATTCCTTTTTATTTTTGTTCTGGGAGACATTAGATCTTGCCCACCATGGCTGCATCAAATATCCTTTGAAATGATATTTTCATGGAAGCAACTAATAAATTGGAGTCTATGAAGCCCCTCTCCGTCCCCATGACTAAAGTTAGCTTCCCCATGTAGCTCACAACTGTTATTGTAAGATTCTGCATGCAATACATTTCATTACAAGTTAAACCTTTTGGAACGTTTATATATACATGCATAAAAATTAAAGATTGGAAGATTCACAAACATAACATTCAATTCCTATATATTTACATTTATACCATCTACCTATGCATGAAAAGGTGTATTTCACTTTTTAAAAGTTAAAAAGGTGGAATTTTTTATGTGATATGAAAGGTTGGGGTGAAATAAATGTAAAAAAAACAAAGTTTGGATGTTGGACATGTAAATAAATAGGGATTGAATGGTATGTATGTAAATGCCCAACTGTTTTTGTTCTCTTATTATTAATATTATTATTAAAAATAATTACCTGAGGGACGCCTACAACCATGAAATAGAAATTGCTAATGGGATTTTTCCCCATCATCATTTGCTCCATGGGACCTGTCATGTTGGATATTGTAGCGCTTGCGTTCATCAATGTTCTATGCATGAATTCGGCTGCCACCTGCATACAATGGCACCCAAAATTAAAAATATATATATAAAAATTTAATTAAATGATGAAATGATATTAACAAATCACAACAAATCACCAATAAATTTAATAGATCCAGTTATAAATGTCGCATTTACATAAATACAACATAATTATTATGGATTTACATAAATAGCCACATAGCACTGAAATTTTTAACATCAGATGAAATATACAACTATTACAACTTTTTAAAGTGTAATATACCTTTTCATGCATCATATGTTTATGACACCAAGTGTCATAAATGTAGATATGAAAGTTTAGGTGTTGGATATAAAAATACGCAACAATTCTGTGCTATGTACGGAAATTTTCTTTAAGTAAATCCAGAGGCATTTACATAAACATCACTCAATTCTTATGTATTTACATATATAACACCTCAACTTTACTTCTGTACATTTAGTCCACCCAAAACTTTCATATCTCATAAAAAATAACACTATCCCAACTAAAATAAAAAGTGAAATACACATTTTAATGCATGGGTAACATCTCACACAAAAGTAAATAATTAAAGTGTCAGTCTGTCAGATATGTAAATAAATGAGAATAAAGCAGTGTATACATGTAAACATTCCATAAATTAACTAATTACCTCTGAGCCTCTATGCTTCCTCAACAATTCCAGCATCCTCCCAGTTAAATAAACACCAAGCGACTTCCTCTTAGCCCTAATAATCTGTCTCCCTTTGAGAACAAACGTCAAAGGATCAACTTTCTCAGCATCCTCGCAGCTGGGAACCGAAACATGAATGAATCCAAACTGATTGCCCCATTGGCTCCTTCCTCCCGCCTTCTTCATCTCCTGCAAGCTCTGGTAGCCATTAACGTTCCTGGTGTTGAGCAACAATAAAGCGGTCACCTTTCCCACACCCACTCTCGTGCTGCAGGCTTCATCACCATTTACAGCTCTCATGTAAAGTTGAATTCCATAGAAAATTACTCCACTTATAACATCATTTATTGTCTACATCATGAACAGCAAACATGTTGATGTCTGATATCAGCGGGCCACATTATCAGTGATATAAATAAAGTAATTTACTAGGGTACAGTGCGTAATTTATGACAAATAAATTTCTGTCGGAAGAAATAAAACATGATTGGATTTACTTCACTGTCATCGTCAAGAAAGAAAATATTTGTAATTTTGTTGTGTTTATGAGTATAAAATGATGAAGATAAGTATAAAGTTTGTTTTCTTTTCTTAATTATATACTTATAATATGATTAACTCGGGGCATAAAGAGTAAAAGGATGATCTTTATTGGTGTTATAAAAATATAAATGGCAAAATGATACATATTATGCCTAACAAACCATAACTTGGTGTCATACGTTTCAAGACCATGGGATCAGTACTAGATTTAGACACAATATCTCTTTATATGGAAAAAATATTTACATCCAAAGGTGCACCACTTCGGACAGCATGGATCGCACTGTGCCATGGACTGCACGGCGTGGTGTCATCAATGTCGTAGACCACACGGCTGGATAACTGGAAAAAAAAATTTTTTTTTTTTGCCCTAATAAACAGTATGTATGTAAATACTATATGTTATAAACTATAACTATAAATTGTAATTTTTTAAAACGTAAAAAGTTTTGAGTCATTGAATCAAATCTCAAATGAATCATTGTGGACTCCAGACGGATTTCGAACCAATTCAATTGGCTCGAAACTAAAATTGAACTTATTTAAGTTGGTTTCAATTCTACGTGAGAATTTAGGTTTCATGAATTTCCAATTTTTGACATTTTTATAGTTTCTTGGTCTAGACTAAGCTGATGCCAGAGCTCAACATCATTGATGGCATATAATATAATTTAGTAATTTATTATAATTGCAGGAAGTAAAATGTTGGTAAAAAACAAAGGGCATTTACATATGTACCTCCCAATTCTTACGTATTTACATATCTAACACTCAATCTTTCATTTTTAAATCCAAACATGCAAATTATAAACATCATAAAAAAAATATCTCCATTATTTACTTTAAAATGTGAAATAATTTTTTTTATGCATAGCCCAAAGTGCTATAAAAATAAATATGAAACTTTAGATGTTAGATATGTAAATACAAAGGAATTGTGTCATATGCATGTAAATTTCCCAAACAAAAAATACTATGAAGCCCATCAAGTTCCCTCAATAATTGAAGTCAATTTGCAATTTTTGTTGTATTTTTTATTTGTTTAAAAATGACAGAATGTAATAAAAAATGTACAGAGATATCACAAGCAGCCAAGAGTTGTTGGAGAGGAAATAAATGAATTTGAAAAAGAAGAATGCTATTATTCAAGACAATGATGTTCTGTCGACAGAAAAAAATATAAAGATGCAATAAAATTAGCTTTACATTTTCACAAATAAAAATACTTGAGAATAATTTTATACATTTATAAATTAGTATATATATAGTGGAGAAAACAATTGATTTGTCTGAGGGTCTGTCTGAGGAAAAAAAAAAACCTCAATCACAAAACGCCACGTGTACGGTTTGGCATTTGCATTAAACTATTTAGTTTTTTGTATTCAGTAAAAGACAGTTGTAAAGATATGGTTGAAGAAACAATATCTTTAGAGGATAAGGCGAGAATTATAAATATTTTTTTTTTTCCTAAAAAGCAGACAATCATATCAGAATGAAGAAAACATGTTCCCCACCTCATAAATTTCTAAAAAACTTCCAAAAGGAGACAGAAAATTGTCCCAAAAGAACCACCCTTATCTTTCACAAAAATGCAGGTAAGCAATTAAAAAAAAACATTCTAATACGGCCAATAATCACAATTATATATAATCTTAATCAAATTTTCAAATGGATAATTAATTCTGGCGCTAAACTACTATGATTCAAAATTGCAATCATAATAAAAGATGTCACTTACCCCTCCGAGCTTATCCTTCACCTTCCTCGCATCATCCAGCGAGAACACCACTTTGGAGATAATCAACGGCCGGAACTCCACCCCTGCTTCGCCGGACCTCACCGGACTACGGTCATCCTCCAACAAAGTGCTCTTCATCAACCCCCAAGCGAAATCGGTCACCGTATTGAGTCCGATTTCGACGGCACGCACCGCCGAGCGGCAGCATTGCATTAGGGTTCCCGACTTCATCGGCGCCGGATTCTGCTTGCGGCCGGGGAATGTGAGAGGAAGCAAGGGATCGTCGGCTCGTTTCAAGCAAGAGAAGAGGGCTCCCATGAGAGAGAAGCCATCGCCGAGAGCGTGGTGGAGCTTGAAGACGGCGGTGCCGGCGTTGGAGCGGGTCGGGTATTTGAGGAGGTGAAGCTCCCATAATGGGCGAGAAGGGGGGAGACGATCTGTGGCTAGTTTAGTGAGGTATTCTTCCACGAATTTGTCGTAGAAGTCGAAGCCGGCGGGGAAGATTGGGGTTTTGATGTGCTCTTTTAGGTTTACCTTTACCTTCTTCCAGTGCTGAATTCCTTTCTCGTCCTTCACCTGCGTTTTTAATTATCATTATTAAAAAAAATTAAAAATATTGTTTGTAATATTATATGTAAACACTTACACTAAAAAATTGGATCAATTTCATGAATATTACCTACCTAAAGTATCGAGAAAATATTACGTCCATTGTCTAATATATAGATGAAGGCATTGATCACAAAATATTGTGTTCAATGCCATGCTGAGACCTACGCAGTCAACCGCACGTCCGATTTACCTGATGTAATAACGTGATACGATCCATACAGCCGATCACACATCCAATTGTAATATATTTTTTTCAATGTATTACAGATAACTTAACACTTAAACTTAAATTTTTTTACATTTATATAATCCAATTTTTTAATATCATATCATAAATAAGGCATATGTATATAAAAATGGAAATTTAAAGTTAGATATGTAAATACATAGGAAGTGAGTGGTGTGTTTGTAAATCTTCTTAAAAAATTATATACATATCTTTCATTTAAATTTAGAATTTATATATATATATATAATTTTACTATTATTATCACTTTAAAATTATACCGAGACATAACATGACAAAAAAAAAAG